GCTGGAGAGCAGCGCCGCGCTCACGTTCATCACCTGGTTCAGGCTGGCCAGGGCTCGGTTCCTCTGGTCCACGGCCTTCTTCAGGAAGGACACCCTGCAAGGACAACGTGACAGGGATGGAACAGCGGGAGGCATGCCGGGACAGTGCTGGGAGCGTGGTGCCAAAGGCTCTGCTGCTACTGCGGAGCCGAGTAGCCACTGGCACGATCCCAGTGCCCAGAGCCACCACAGGAACCTCCCAGCTCCTTCCCCTCGGCAGTACCACATCCATGTCCCCACCAGAGCTGACCCTGTGGAGCAGCTCTGGATAGCCAGACCCTGGGAATCCCCCTGTGCAGGGAGGGGGGGCCTCGCCCACGCCCCCTCCCCGTGCACAGACAGCCATGGAGACGGAGGCACGTGCCTGCCCTGCCTGTTAGTGCCAGCTTGGCATGTGTGACAGGCGCCTGGCACCCTGCCTGTGCCACCTTCTGCTGCCATGGCTGCTGCTGCCAGCCCGCCCACAGTGCTGGGGATGGCTGTGCCATGGAGAGGGGGCTGCCCTCAAACACTGGTTTTATGTTACTGAGTTTGGGGGAAGCTTCCCAGCCTGGGAAGGTAAAATACTGGAGTAGTTCTCTAAGAGAAAACCACTGAGAGAGTTGGGGTCATTCAGCCTGGACAAGAGAAGGCTCCAGGGAGACCTTAGAGCACCTTCCAGTCCCTAAAGCAGCTCCAAGAGAGCTGGAGCTGCAGAAACTGTGGCTGTCCCAGGATCCCTGGAAGTGTTCAAGGCCAGGCTTGGAGCAAACTGGAATAGTGGAAGGTGTCCCTGCCCATGGCAGGGGGTGGAACTGGGTGATCCCTTCCCACACAAACCATTCCATGATTCTGTGATTAGTTACTGACAGAGACCTGCACAGCCCCCAGCTCAGTGCCCGTGCACCCCCTACCTCTCTGAGGTGTTCCCTATCCCGGACAGCAGCTCCTTGATCCTCCGGCCGATCTCAGCAGGGGTCAGCTCCACGTCCGGCTCCTCAGGGCTGCACAACCCACAGGACACGAGGCTGCCCTTGGCCGACAGAGCCAACAGCTCCGACTCACCTGGGACACAGATGGGGCTGGTCAGGGAAGGGGGCCAGGAGGGGAGCAGGAGCTTCCCAGATGGCTCAGGGAGGGATGCAGGGGGGACATGGAGCAGGATGGCACTGTCTGCCCCAATGCAACGGGAGTGGAGGCATTGTTCTGTCTGCAGGGGAGTACGATGGAGAGAGGACACAGATCACCACAGCACACCCAGCTCACACACAGCCCCCCAAGAAGGGACACCTGCCCTGTCCCCACCACCCCTCAGCCAAGGCCAGCAGCACCCAGCGAGGGTCACAGCTGCCACACAACGTCCCTGCTGGTGGCACAGGCAGCTCTGTGGGCAAGGAATCTGGACAGCAGCCCAACCCTGCACAGAGCCACGGGGAGGGGACAGGTGGGCTCCCACTGCCCCAGTACCTTCTGAGGCCCGAGAGGACAGGGAAAGAGCCACGACACTGCAGATACTCAAGCTGGCTGGGGACAGGACAGGGGGTAGGACGCCGGTGCTGCTCTCGGCGTCCTCGGGGTCCGAGGCGTCCCCCGCGCGGTCCAGGTCGACGGCGGAGATGTCGGAGTGGGTGCTGTAGTACATGCGGCTGCCGCTGCCGCAGGCCGCGCACAGGATGGGCCCGCGCAGGGAGTACTCCCGGAGCTCCGGCACCGCCGTCTCCTCCCGCTGATCCGCCTTCACCGCCACCATCTTGCCGTAGTGGCCCACGGCCACCACGCAGTCACAGCCGGGCTCTCCCGGTGGCGCCGGCTCGTCCTCGTCAGCGTCGTCGGCCGCGCGCCGCTCCGTGCGCAGGGCCCCGATGAACACGATGGGCTCCTCCAGGTGGTGCAGGATCTTCACCGGCGGGTCCGGCGTGGACACGTCCCGGCAGCCGCTGTCGGTGGCGGCGGGCGAGGAGCTGAGGGCTTTGAGGGGCACGGAGCAGAGCTGCCCGTCCGGGAACCCGCACAGGATCATGGGCGACTCCAGCATGGCCGCGTCGATGCCGAAGAGGAGGCTGAAGAGCGGCTCCTCCAGCACGAAGCCCCCCGAGCACCAGAGCCCCTCGGCGCCGGGCGCGGCTGCGCAGCACAGCACGGGCAGGAAGCAGGAGGGGGGCGCGTCCTCGCCATCCCCCGGCGGGGAGCCGGGACAGAATTCCACCTGGCTGACCTGCCGGTACGGGGGCCCGTCCTGCTCCGGGCGCGGCAGCTCGTGCAGCCGCATCCACCACCTGCCCTCGGCCTGGGACAGCGTGATGACGAAGGTGCCGAGCAGGGTGAACATGCTCAGGCTGGCGTCGGGGAAGATGCAGGAATCGGCATCCACCGGGAACACGCCGCAAGGGCCGTTGCTTTCTTGGCCGTCGCCGTCCGTCTGCTCCATTAACCTTCGGGAAAACAGGGAAGAGCTCCGAGCCAAGCCGTGGGGAGAGGCCAGCGTGTCCCTTGGCCGCCTCCTCGCCTGGCCCTGGGAAAGGAGCTCCTGCAGCAGAGCTTTTAGCACGAGGCAGAGACAGGAATTCTGTGGGAACGTTCATGAGAGCAGAGCCCCCAGCCCAGGGGCGGTCCTGGCTGTGAGCTCTGCTGCCCTTGGCTGGGCAGCAGGGCCTTCCCGGGGGGATCCAGTGTTTGCCAGAGGCTGCTCGTGTGTGAGTCAGCTGGGATGACCCTGGGCAGCTGGAGATCAGGATGGGGACAGGGATAGGGGCTGGAGCGCTCCAGCACAGAGGGTTTGCAGCCCTGGAGTCAGGAGCAGGATCTGGAGAGAGCTGGAGCCTCACACAGAGAGGAAAGCCCCACTCTGTGGTGGGAAGGGGCAGCCCCAGGAGCCCAGGGATGGGGACACAGCGCTGACCCCGAGGGTGACAGACACCTCACCTGCTCTGCTGCTCCAGGGACACGCAGTAGATCCCGCTGTGGGCGCACAGGATGTAGAGCTGCCGGGGCTGGGGCAGCAGCTCCACGTGCCACACCTGCTCAGGGCAGCGGAACACAGCCTGGGGAGGGGGCACAGAACAAAATGTCACCTCCCACGGCACCTCCCACGGCACCTGCAGGGGTGGCAGGGACGGGGGGTTCCCTGCAGGGCAGGATCCAAAGCGATTCCCAGGGATAAAGGGATCCCTGGGCAGCACCCAGCTGGGTTTTCCTGGGGTTGGGAAGGGGGCTGTGGCAGCTCCTGCACCCTGAGGGGAAGAAAAGCAGGGATCAGGGAGCTGCTACTGCTCCACTTTGCAGAGCGGGAGCGCAGTGTGGGAGGCAGAGCCCGCTCCTGCAGCGGTGCAGCTCTCAGAAATGATAATCAGAGCCAATTAACAAAGGCAGCGGCGTGTCAGTCACTAGTGACAGTGGGGACGACTGCCAGGCCTGGGGGAGAGGGAACAGGAGCTCCTGCGCTGGGGGGAACGAGCCTGGGGGGTCTGATCCAGTGTGTGTCCCACGGGACTGGGAGAGGGGACGGCTGGCAGCACCCCCGGAGCTCCACAGGGACGGGCAGGGGGGCTGGTGGGGCTGGATTGCTGGGGGATCCCGGGGGACTCGGCCATGAATGGTGTTCCTCTGGGATGGGGGTCCCAGTGTGGAGCCCCCCGTCCCCCAGTGCCCTCACCTTGAGCACTTTGCCCTCCTGGTCGTACACGTAGACGAACTCGGAGCCGTTGGAGAGGTAGATCTCGTTCTCGTGGCACAGCACGCGGGGCTTGCCCGCCGCCAGCCCCCCCACCGGGCAGCAGAACCCGGCCAGGTAATCCACCCTGTGCCCCACCTGAGCCATGGTGCCGGCCTGGGGGGCACACCGAGGGCCGGGGGGTGTCAGGGGGAGGGGATGGGGCCCCTCTGCCAGCTGAGCCCAGACCCCCAGAGCAGGGGGGGGACACGGCCCTGCGAACCCCCCCCTCCCCAGCACAAGTCCAGACCCCCAGCCCCGCGTCCCCGGGAGCCCCCCAGCCCCTCGTAGTGCAGGCTCAGATACCCAGACCCCCGGACCCACAGTCCCCCCACACCTCCCCATCCCCACCCGCACACACCCCCTCCCCAAGCATCACTCTCAGCCCCCTCTCCCCATCCCAGCGCCCCAGACCCGCCCCATCCCTGCCCCAGGGCCCCTCACAGCCCAGTCCTTGTACCCCGCTCCCGTCCTGCAGCCCCCCACCCCCGACTGCAGACCCCCAGTCGCCCCCAAGCCCAGCCCAACAAGCACACCCCCGCTATCCCCCCACCCCAATCACCGTCTCCGCTCCCCCGGCCCGTCCCGCCCCCCTCCTCCCGGAGGCTCGCGGTACCGGGCGGGGGGCGCGGCGGCTCCGCTTTACGGCTGCGCGGCGGCCGCCGCAATGGGCGGGGGTTTGCGACGGGCCGTAAAGCGGCGATGGGCGGGGGGGGCGGCACCCGGGGGTTCGAGACCCCCAACCCCGGGGTGACCCCCTCACCGTGGGGACCCCACCCAACCCCAGGGTGACCCCTCACCGTGGGGACCCCCACCCAGCCCGGGGGCGCGGGCAGAGAGGAGCGAGGCGGTGCTGGCAGCAGCGGCTTTATTGACACTGAGAGGGGCCGCGTGGGACCCCGGGGTGGGCAGAGACCCCCCAAGCTGACCCTGACCTTGACCCACGGGGATGGACCCCCGAGTCTGGCTGAGCCCCCAAATGATGCCCCTGACCTCCCAAGGGCTGGCTGAGCTCCCCAAGTGATGCCCCCCCATTTGAAACCCCTCAAATGAAGCCCCCCCGTCTGTCTAAGCCCCCCTCAAAGTGCTGCCCTTGCCCCCCACCCCAGCCTGAGCCCCCAAGTGTCGTCCCCCACGTGATGCCCCCCGGTCTGTTTGCCCCCCAAGCGATGCCCCTGACCAACCCCCCAAGACCGGCTGAACCCCCCAAGTGATGCCCCCCCATCTGAGGACCCCACCAAGGGGAGCCCTTGTTCTGTCTGAGCCCCTCCCAGTGATGCTCCCCCCCCCCATGCCGGGGGTCCCTCACTGGGGGGTCCCAGGTGCCCTGCGGGGGCTCAGTGGGACCCCCCCTCGGCGCGGGGGGGCAGCCGCGGCCCCCCGGGCCCGGCTCAGCCGCTCCACGGAGGCTTCGAGGTGGGCGAATCTGTCCGAGAGCCCCCCCAGCTGCTCCTTCAGCGCACGGAAATCCCGGTACAGCTCGTCCAGAGCCCCCGACAGCGCCGGGATCCTGCGGGGGCGGCGGGCTCAGGGCAGGGACCCCCCCCGAGCACCCCCCGAGCCCTCCCAGGGAGCCCCCCGGCCCTCCCCTCACCTGCCGTAGTCGGGCAGCACGGTGTGGTGGTCGGCCAGCAGCAGGTTCCGCAGCTGGGAGGTGATGGCGAACTTCCAGTTGTCCAGGACCAGCGTCAGGTTGGCACAGCCCCTGCTCGGCGGCCTCTGGGCTGGAGGGGCTGCAGTGGGACCACGGGCAGCCCCCCCGAGCAGGACCCCCCCTGGACCCCCCTCCAGCCCCTTGCATGGGCAGGCCCCGCTCAGGCCCTGCCTGTGCCCCGTGCTGCGGTGGGAAGGGGGTGCCAGGGTGGGAATTACCCTCTCCTCCATCGTCCCACGCCGGGCGCCGCCTCAGCTGGGCTGTGCTCCCCAGGGCCGAGAGCAGCAGCAGGGGCAGCAGCAGCCGGGCCATGGCAGGGCCCTGTCCCCATGGCGTCCCCAAGGGTGTCCCCAGGGCTGTGGTGTCCCCGAGGGCCGAGCTGGGCATGTGCCACCCGCTGCTCCTGCCCTGCTCCCGCTGCTGCTCCGCTCTCCGGGCTCTGCTCCCCGGCTCTGGCTCCGGCCGCTCCCGCTCCCCGTTCCAGGCTGGGCTGGCGCGGGGCCCGGCGGCTCCAGGGCTGATTGCAACCAGACCCGGACACGGCCCGGACACACGGCCCGGACACACAGTCCTGTCGGGAATGCCGAGCAGTGATGGGGTGCAGGTGGCACAGCACTGGGGAGCAGGGCCCCCCACCAGCTCCTGCTGGGAATGGGGAACATCCCAGCTGTGTCCCTCATTCTGGATGGGAATATGGAGCATCCATGGAGCTCCATCCCAGCAGGGGTGATGGAGTGCAGGTGACACAGTGCTGTCCCAATGGGAACAAGGAATATCCCAGCCCCATCCCACAGGAGGGAGCACAGAGGCACTGGGGAGCCGCATCCCCGCTTTCCCATTGGGAATGTGGAGCGTCCCAGGACAGGTGACAGAGAGCAGGAGGCTCTGGTTTGAGGTGCTTTTATTCCACGTTACTCGCAGCCCCCGGGCCTGGGCCCCCCCCAACACTGCACCCCCAAACCCCAGCACACCCAGGGAAAAGCAACCGCAGCCCAGAGCCGGGCCTTGGGATGAAGCCTTCGGAGAGCCCCAGCGAGGGGCAGGGGGGCCAGAGGGTCCCTGCCCTGCTGGACACTGGGACACCCTGTCCTGGAGCAGGATGGGGTCTCCAGCCCCCCTCCCATGATGGGATACAATCCCAATGCCCCGGGATTGAACCCCAGCTGCAGACACAGGGCAGGGGGGCTCCAGGACAGGCACCTCCATCATCCACCTGTGCCCAGGCAGCTCCAGCCAGGGGCTAAAGAGAGGGTGGGGGGCAAGAGCCCCGAGTCCCAAGTCCGGCCAGGACACGCTCTGGAGGGACGAGGGCACGGGGGAAGGAAGGCACCAGCTCCTGGGACAGGCCGGAGGTGAGGTGGGTGCCCAGGTTTTGTGGCTGTCCCATCACCCCTTCCCTGGGAGCCCACCCCTGCTCCGTGGGGTGACACAGCACCCCCAGGGGACACCCCTCCTGCAGTCCCCACGGGGTGCCAAGCTGAGAGCTGGCAGATGCCCACCCCGTGCCCGGTGTCCCGTCCTGCTCCGGGAACATCAAAGCCACCTGCCAACCCCTGGGGCGAGTCGGCGGCAGAGCTCTTGGGATCCGGGCACCCACACGGGCAGGGAACGGGAGCAAAGCTGCAGGCAGGGAGAAGCCAAAGCCTCCCCATCCCCTCAGGAGGGAAGTGGGCACGGACACCCCCCCGAGCCTCCTGGGTCCCCCTGGCAGGCTGGCAGCAGTGGGGGGGGCACGGGCTGAGGAGAAGCGTCAGTTCTCCGGGCTGGGAGCACCAAGCAGCTCCAGGATGGCCCCCGAAAGGGAGCGCAGAGTAACTGGGGGGCTGGAGCCACCCAGCAGCCGGAGCTGGAAGCTGAAGGGAGGAAGGGGAGGGACAAGCGCCGCGCCGGCTGCTCCGGGGAGGCTCGGGGCGGGAGCGGGGCTAGGAACGGGGCAGGCTGCACATCTCGCAGTGGTCCGTGCCCGGCTGGTTCATGAAGGTGCAGTGCTGGCAGGGCCACATGGCTGCGGCCGCGGCGTGCGACGAGCCCCCCATGGCGCCGTATTCCTGCATTCCCGAGAGCGGGACACCCACCGTGCCTGCGGAGAGAGCCCGGGGGCAGCGCTGGGATCCCAGCAATGCCCACCCCGCAGTGCCCCCCGGTCCCAGCCCCGGGAGTGTTCCAGGGGGCTTGGAGCAACCTGGGCTGGTGGAAGGTGTCCCTGCCCATGGCAGGGGGTGGGATGAGATGAGCTTCAAGGTCCCTTCCCACCCAAGCCATTCCCTGATTCCATGACCGACCAACAGCTTTCCTCCCCCTGAGCCTCCAGCAGCCTCTTTAAGGGCCCCCAGCCAGCTCTGACAGGAACAAGAGACCCCCCCGCCACAGGGACCCCTCTTACTGCAGAGCTGCTCGATGGTCGCCCACTGCTCGGATTTCTTCCAGGTCTGTGCAAGCTCCTCATTTTTGGTCCTCACAGCTTCCAGCAATAAGCTGATGCTGTCCTGGAAGCCACAGGAGGGAAATGAGCACTGTGAGCCCTCCCGTGTCCCACCGGGTGCTGTGACCAGGGATGTGCCCTCCTTCCCTAGCACAGCAAGGCAGGACCCTGAGCCTGAGCTGTTCCCCCTTTCCCGAGATCCTTGGGGTGCCCCAGTTTATCCCTCTGCTCCCCCCAGCAGTCAGACAGACCCCCACATCCCAGAAGATTCCATTCCTCTGCTTCCAGGATGTATCACGCACTGCTCTGGGATAGCGTGCCAGTGCTGCACAGCAATCCCGACTTCCAGAGGGGCAAATCCTCCATGCCAGAGCACTCCAGCCCCCATCCCTGTCCCCATCCCGATCTCCAGCTGCCCAGGGTCATCCCGGCTGCCTCACACATGCGCAGCCTCCGGCCAACATGGCCCAGCTGGATCCCACCGGGAAGCTCCAGCGGTGCCGGGGCAGCCGCCAGGCCCGCAGTGCCCGGCCAAGGGCAGCAGAGCTGCACTGCCAGGACACCCCTGGCCCCACCGAGGGCTGGGGGCTCTGCTCTCGTTGTTGTTCCCACAGAATTCCTCATTCTGAGATAATTTTTAATTCGTTTCCAGCTCTGGGAGCCGCAGCCAAGTTGGCTCTGGAATCATGTGGACAACCAACCCCTCTCAGTGCTCCCAGCAGCTCCGAGGCTTTAAAAGGGTTTTAAAATTTTTTAACCTTCTCCCAACAGTTCATCTGGAAAAGACAGCAATGGGACCCGGCCCAGGGACACAGGATGGCAGGAATGGTCACCCCCACACCTGAGGGAGCTGGGATGGGGAGGATGGATAGGGACAGGACCCTCCCCGCCCCATTACATACCCGCAGAGGCATGACCTCATTTGTGACCAGGAAGAGGAGCAGATGGAAATCAGAAATGATGTCTAGGAAAATGGAGGATGTGTTCTGGGACAGGTACGTGGCCAAGCTGTGGAAGTCCTGGAGAGAGGGGACAGTAAGGAAGAAAAGTCACTCCCTATTTGGATCTGCTACCAGACATTTCTGGCGCCTCCCGGCATCGACTGCAATGTGCAGGGATGATCCCAAAATCAGATCCCAGGCTGGCTGATTGAATTCCAGCTAACAACTTCCAGGGAAAAGGATCTTTGCACCCACACCAGCTTTTCCTGACCAATCTCAGTGCACACAGAGCCGATCTCAGATCCAAGAGGTGCTGAGTGTGGCCAAGCAACTCCAGCTCTGTCCCTATGGAAAAGGGGCAGAGGGGGGTGGAGCAGCCCGTTCCTTCCCATCTTTTGCCCCGGCCTCTTGCAGGAACAGCACCCTGTGCTTTAAAATTCCAACCAGGAAGAGAAGGCAGTGCTCTGGGAGCAGAACAGACTCCAGACCCTCTCCTGCCTGTGGGGAGAAGCGGGTCTGTGGTGTCTCTGTGGGGCTGGAGCCCCTCAGTCCCCCTGGTGCTGCCTGGGAGGCACAGGGAGCCCTGATCCCATCACAGAGCCGTTGGGAACACGGCTGGCAATCGGCATTGGCATGCAGACACTGCTCTGTGCAGGAAGGAGTTTGGCAGCTGCACTGGGAAGGGGTGACTTGAGGGCACAGCTGTCCCTCTGCAGATGTCAGCGAGCACAAGGGAGGCAGAGCCTGTCCCTGTGGAAGGGGCTCCGTCAGGAATCAATCCTCACCTGAGTTTCTCCCAGCACATCGCGGTTCTCGATGGGGAATGGATTTTGAGAAATAGAAAACGTGTAGACTGGATCCTTGGGGAAAGTTGTAGTAATCTAAAGAAGAGAAAAAAACCCAAGGAAGGATGATCAGAGGCACATCCCCTTGGCTCCCAAGCAGCCTTGTTCCTAAGGAAGCTGGAGGGACATAGATGGAGCTTGGTCCTGACAGATGCTATGGACACCATCCCTCTCTGCACAGGTTACTGGGATACAGTGATCCTGGCACAGCTGTGCTGGGGGGGGCATCCTGAGGGCATCCTAATGCATGTTCTATCCCTCTGTTTTCATCCCAGTGACAGCTCAGGTATCCCAGGAACAGGTGCCTTCCCTCCTGCAGGAATCCCTGAGCTCTGGCTGCCTGTGCCAGGGGCAGCTGGAGCAGAGCAGTTGCTCCGGGTGGATTTAATCGTTGTTGGCACCACCTCCAGCTCCAGCAATATCATCTGTCATCCCAGTTATTTGCTTTCCCGCCTTCCATGCCGTAAGTTTGCTTCCCAGCCCCAGGGCTGAGCCGTGCCGTGCCTGGCAGCAGCTCCGCTCTGGCCAAACTGTGCCAGAGAGCGAATTCCCTCTTCCAAGAAAAGGCATTTCTGGACAACCTGCTGAGTCACTTGAAGGAGATGGATCCCTAACTGCTGCTCTGAGACAGGCAGCTGGAGCTCCTTCCTTAGGCAGAGCCCTGCACATGGATCCGTGGGGCAGCTGCTCCCTGTGGCTCCCTGCCAGGGCGGAGCCGTGATAAGGCACCAGGCAGTGCCTTCCTGGGAAGCACCAGGAATGCCTTCCTGGGAAGCAAGAGTGTTCCCTGGCACCTCACTGGCCCCTCGGAGCAGGGCAGCCACCTCCCTGCTCGGAACGCCTGGCAGCAATGGGAAGAGGAGGATATCTCAGGAATCACCTCCAGTGGGAATTTCAGAGGTGGGTGAAGGGTTTGCTGTGCCATGACCCTCTCCCACGGGAAGCAAACACTACGGAATACTCACGTCTATGATGAGGTACTCGACCGGCAGCGGGCGAGCCAGCTGGGTGATCTCGTTCCCAAACTTGTCTATGTCCTAAAAGAGGAAGGGACGGATTATTCCTGAGCATGGAAGTGGTGTGAAGCCCAAGGGATCATGCCCTGGAGATGCCCACCCAGGATCCTGAGCTTTGGCAGATCACTGAGGGTGGAAAAGAACCCGGCTGGGTGGTGCAGGGCTGCCCAACTCCCTGCAGCTCCCAGGGGCTGGAGATCTCTGTAATTCCAGGATCTCTGGAATCAGGATCGCTGTTTCCTCGTGAGCCAAGGGAGTGTGTGGTCACAAACCACCTTGGGCTTGTCTCCCACTGGAGAGGGACCTGGAATTATCTAAGGAGTGTAAATCAAGGTGTGATTCCTGGGCTTGTTGGACTTGATGACCCTTCCAGCTCCAGATATCCTATGATTCCATGATTCTAAATGCCATTTAAGCAGCAGCTCTGTCTAAAAAAGGAGGGACAGGCCACATCTGCCTCCTCGGCCGAGGCAAACCTGCCTTTCTGCAAATCCAGGAGTCCCTCATCCAGCTCTTCACCTGGGAATCAGGAATCCAGGCACTTTCCCAGGCCCAGACCCTTAGAACCAAGCACATCCCACGGCGTAAACTTGTTTTGCTTTGCCAGACGAAGGGAACATAAAGTTTAATTAGGGAGACAAACGGCCAGCATATGTTCATTAATCATAACCT